CATGTGACTAATATTCTTTAGGATGTGACTGATGTAGCTTTGCTTCTTAGCTCTTGACTGTTCCTGTTCAATGACGGTTTCCAAGTTGCTATAAATCTTCAGACACATAATAAAAATCAATTCTACAAGGTTGGGTGGAGATTCATTTGCAGACCTCATAACAATATGCAGGGCTAGAATACACTCTGACAAGTGAAAAACTGTGACTATGCTCACATATGCTTTTCCCCCATTTAAAATTGAATTTTGTATGAACTCCCCATTCTTTCTTTTTATCTGCTGTATTTAATTGTTTTGACTCAAAATTAATTAAAAATGCTCAAATACAGATATACACCATTCAATAGTTTTAAGAAATTTCTTGCTATGTAAGTTGCCTGTCTACAAATCTGAGTTAATAAAATAACATTAAATGTATTCAGGAAGTCACAATGCTGACTGTGTTTCTTTAAACAAAATACTTCAAAGGTGTCAAGACCTTCACAGGCATTATAAAACAAGAAGTTCAGGTGGGTAGCTGCATCAGCATCGGTAGGCTACAAAAGAACAAGTTAAAGGATTATTCCATGTTGAAAAGAGAAAAAAGGAGACACAACATTTCGGCTGTGGAGCCTTCATCGGGTGTGACACTATTATAAACCATTACAAAACAAGAGTGAATTCACAAAAAGGAAGGGAATGTTTCATTCAAAAGCTCTATGAAGATCCATCATTCCATGTCATCTTAATAACAGATATATAAAGTTTTTACCTGCCTCATTAAATATTATTTTATGGCTTTTAATTTGCAAATTTGACGATTATAGGATAATCTATTTAAAGCACAAAGTGATTTGGCTATATTCTTAAGCCCAGTTCTTAAAACAAGACTTTAGCCTTCACCCAAAGAAATGATGGGCAGTGGAAAACAGGTGAATTGAAGGGATCAGTTCCATTTTAGCGTGACCTCTTTGATAAAATAAACTATTCTCAGGATAAGAAACCAGAGAACCAGTCTTTTTAGGCCTGTGTCCATTGTGTTTCAGATATGAATCAGAAAAGGGATTAAGGTTTCTAGGCTATAAGCTCCCTATCCAGTTTTGAGAACGTTCAGAAACAAATGATCATTGTTAAGTCAAAGATCAAACTACACTGTGCATAAAGACCTCTTTTCAGAGAAAATACCATAGCGTTATTTATAAAGCTCTCCCTCATGTTGTTACGAATTTGATACATTAAAAAATGCAAACATTATTCTAGACAGGCTGTACGCACATTCAGTATACTGTATGTCTGATATTCTGGAACCATTATCTATCAGAGGCTGTTTTTTTCAGTTTCTGAACATTTATATTTTATTTTCATTATTGGTATACATTCATAAACTATGCTTTATGCGCTAAATTATGCCATATACTGACATTACCAATCACTTTTTACATGTGTTGATGTCTATAATTATCTTCAGGTTGTCACTGAAAATCAGAATGTGTTCTCCAGTGAAGTACCTCTTTAAATAACCAAAGGAATACATCAGAAACAACTCTGTATTGATTATTAGGTGAGAGGAAGAATTGGCCTTTCTATTCATCAGAAGTTTTACATGTTCAAACCTAAAGCTTCTCCAAAAGAGAGCACCTCAGATTCTTAAGCCTTTTCCCACTTATTGGACCTTAAGCAGAACTCAGGTGCTCCAAAAGAGAGAAAAATCCCATAAGCATAACCAGATACCTGAGCCCCCTAATAAAACATGCTGGATCATGTATTAGCAATAGACACCAGTCAACACCCAGCTAATTAAATTCTTCACGATTGTGCACATGCAAATTTGCAGTTTCACATGAGCAATTCATTTGTCCACACTGATGGGGAATAATGCAAGATAACTGCACAAGGCTGCATAAGCAAAACACTTATTGTGCTGCAAGACAGAAATAAGAATCTTCTGTGTCGCTCATTTTAGATGGCCCATTGCATAGTGATATAAGTAAGCATCTTACACTGCTCTGTCTAGCTGTCCTATGCCGGGCTACCATGTAGCTGCCAACCAACTTATTTGGTTGGGAAAGTAGCATGAGGAAGGAGAACAAGAAAATGAGGAAGCAGAATTAAATAGAAAACTGAACCATGAGAGAATCTAGTGGAGACCCATCTGATTTCCTACAGTGGTTGGGGAGGTTTTGATTTAGGACTGCAGCAGGCAGCCCACACAAAGCGCCTGCTCTTATCCAGTGCTCTTATCCACCTGTGGCACATTCCTCAAATGAACTACACGCGTGCTCCAATAGAATGCTTCAAAATGACTGGCAGGGCACAAACTTAAATGCATCATACAAAGATAATTACAAGGTGTGCTCTGGCAACAGCTAATTGGACTAGATACTGCAGAACCATTTGGTTTATACAGTAATATTAATACACCCAAGAAAATACACCCAAATTATTTTATTGTCATAATGCTTTAAGTTCATTTAAACAGGTAAGTGCAGGCTAAAATCCCCATCCTAACTCTGGCTAGCAAAAGGTTAGTGGTATAAGAAACTACTATTTGATGAACCCCAGCCAATGGGCTTCTATTAACCAATCTTTTATTTCCTTATGCCTTTTGGCTGTAACCAACTCGAATCCTGCTCAAGTCCAGCAACAATACCAAGGTGATGTTCAAAATAAAAACACGGGCTCTGTAGATCACCTGTTGAATCATAAAATCACCAAAGTCCTATAGTAATACAATCTCAGATGCAATGTTATAGATCCAGCTCCAAGCTATACCTGAAATATACAGCAGCATTTCAGCTGGGGGGGGAAGGGTTAGCAACCTGAAATAAAGACTTCAGAAAGACACACACTGGAGAAACCATTAAATAAACCATTACAACACTCTTTCTTTTAGAACTGCAGCTATTTTTAAAAAAGGGGGGCTCTCGTGGAGAACAAAAGACACACTGTTCAGGTACACTTTTCCTGAGTCACCTTTATTATCTTGTTTTCACATGACATTATTTGGAATATTTTAAGAAAGAAAAGCCGACTCTCCACATTTACAGTATTTGGTAACCACATTTAACTTCCTCATTATATACTGTAGGAAGCATCAGTCAATTTCCCTGTTTCTTTGTTAACTTAAATGTCATATTTCGTGTACCTGCGTAGCACACCTAAAGGAATTAATATCTATAGCAGAGCAAATATCACCCCAATACAAAAGACTCAAAAAGATACAACGCTAATCAGAATTAAAAAAAACAAATTCAACAGTGAACTTTCATGATGGTATTAATGATATTCAAACATCTGCTTTGTTAAAACAAAATCTTTGGTTATTATTTTACGCAAACTTTGAATATGACATTTCTGAAAAATCCTCATATCATGTGAATCTCCCAATCATAAGGATGCTCCTGCCCTGTTATGAGTTGTTTGTGGAAAATGCCTTTTAAAGGCAATCGTGAACTGAAACGATGCTTTTACCTACACTTTGCCCATTAGTGACACTTGATATCACGTACTCTAACCCACTTCTTCTGAGCTCTGGAATATAACACTCTGGAAACAGGTACTGTCATAAACAAAATCTCAAGCTCGGCAGGAGCCAAGGTCAATATTTGAACAGTCAACCAATGTCAAGAGAGGATTTATAGGACAACAAAAGCAGCTGCTAGTTCCCTTTTGTATTTATTTCAAAGTAATTTATTAAGTGAACACTGGACAGCAACGGCTTAATTACCTGCGAGCTGTACCCTCGTTTGGTTGGTATGTCAGTTATTAGTCACTCAGACTGTGAAAATGATTTTAAAAAATCTTCCTTTACTCACGTAAGAATGAATGAGCTTCCCCTACAGTATATTCTTTAGATCAAGAATAAAACCAAGGAAAATCTAAAGTACATGATCACATTTTGTGTGTTTGTCCAGCTGGACCTGATTTTTGCCCTTAACAAGAAAAAAATCATTCAGGTCAATGGCCACTACTTAATATGTTATGAACTGTCAAATTGCACATTTCTGCTTATTTGATACACTCAGGCATGAAGACTAGACTAGATTGACTCGACTGGATATGCCCATCAGAGGACAGCATGTCTCTCAAAGTTGCAGCTAAAAGTTCAATAGATGTCAAAAACCTTAACACAGGACTTCCCTTATATTATTGAAGCTTATGTAGATGGAAGATGCTTTAAAAAAACATCTGTTAAGTTGTTTCTTAGAAATGGAGCCAGATTTTTATTTTCATTTGTAAATGGTCTCATCGAATAAAGCAAGCACAGCGTGCCTTCCACCAAAATGCTTACATAACTTATTTTATATGACTTACTTAATGACTTAAATAATAAGGAAAAGGCTACAATTGTATTTTGAAAACGTTCAAGGCTGAGAGAGCTGAGAGATAAATGAGAAACCGGGAAAATGAATAAATTACGCATGAGCCTGTACCTCATCAGGAAAAAAACTTAAGTAAAAAGATAATTCGCCTTTAAGCGAGTTTCGCAAGCGTCCACAGCCGTAGCATCTGTAATGAATTGGGCAGCGGATTTTACAGGCACGGTGCAGGCGAGAAGGCTCCATAGCCCCTTGTGTGGAGTCTGGACGCAGGCTGTGTCCCAAGGCCAGGAGCAGAGCCATACACGCAGTGAAACAGTCTGGAGTTAGAGCATTCGATGCTTTATTCGTGAGTAGAGAGCTCACTCCGTGTAATTGCATATGGAGCCAGACGATTTAGAGATCGCCTAATGCCTTACTGCAAGGTGATCTCAGGTACTACAAGCGCCGCATTTCATTTACAAATGTCTCACAATATCAACCAATTCATGGATGCTCTTCGGTAACAGTATTTTGTTTCTGTAGTATTATAGCGACAATTCTCAATTCGCCAGGATCGATATCCCGTTTTAAAGACATGTTCACGATACCTGGTGAATCACAAGTTCAACAGAGCAACGTGCTTTACTAAGACAGTACCCAATTGTAATGCAGAGATCAGATTTTTTCCTGTGAAGTATGACCTCAAAATAGACACTAGAATTATTGTTACAAGATTTGACTTATTTCATAATAGTTTAGGTTGTTATATAAAATATTCTTATAGTTTATAACCAGCGCAGTATTTGTTTTTTGTTGTTTAACAAAAAATCAAACAAGTCATAACTATTACCTATAAACAAGTTTAAATATGTAATGGCCATTATACATTATATACAGAAATATTTAAATAAAAAATCGATTGTTACAATCTATTATTATTATTATTAAATAATACCACCTAAACTAGAAAACACAAGAAATGTTTCCCTCATAGAAGCGAAGGAAAGGAGATATCTGAACTTTCAGCTTCCTGACCTGTGTAACTTCCATTAGCCTATATTGTTTCTAACTTGAGAAATAATCAGTAATACATGAAAAGAACGACGAGCTGCGAGATAAGTGAGCATCAGACTCGACTCTCCTCACCTTACCTGTCCCCGCAGGTGAAGCTGAGCTCCTGCCGTCTCTGGAACTCCAGCTCAGTCTTCCTCCGGTCAGTACTCCGACCTCCGCCACCGCAGAGTCATAGTCGGACTTGGGGTTTAAGAAGGAGCGAGAGGCAGAGAAATTTCTCCAAAGCCTCCTCCTAGAGCCGATAAAAGTGTACAAGCTCTTGATGTGTGAACGCCATGGTGCTGTAATTCCTGCGAGAGCCGGTTTTTCTAGTTGAGCTGCCTCGGATCTGCGCTACAGGTGATCAAAGCGTTCAGCTATTCGGTTTAGTGTGTGTCATCCTATGGGCTTGTGAGCATGCACAGAGCCTGCCCACTGCCTCCGCGTCTTACTGACCGAGCAGTCACCCTGCTTCTCCGCTCGCCGCTCACACAAAGGTTGTGTGTTTTATAGATGCCAAACAGCAAAGATTTTATTACTCAGTGACCTGTTTGAGTGATTTGACGGGAGACGTAAAGTGGCAAGTAGAACTTAAATGCAAGTTTAATTAAAACTTAAGGTTTTTTGTAGAGCAACGCCTGTCGTTTCCTTTGCTATCTCACTGTTAAAACAGTGAATGTCTTTATGCATCTCCTCGGGAAAGTGTCTTACATCACTAGAAATACGCACGGGAACAAATACGATCTGCACCTACAGAACCATTCCGTTTTCTTTTCCTCACGTCGAGTGTTGGACCGCTTTTCCCGCTGAAAGCTTGCCCATTTCGCTCATCTTGCCACGGAAATGCTGTCCTTTTGCCATGGAAGACTTCTGTACCAGTACTTTTTGTGTTTAAAAAACTTACTTCAGCTCTTAGAAAGCTGGGATGTTATTTTGTGCATCTGACGACTGGGACTGACAGCTCAGGAGGTGACCAAGTCGGTTTTCAGATGGATGTTCGCGCACACATCGCAGACTTACAGAGACGGCCTCTGTACAAATCCCCTGTTGGCGTTAAACCCCGAGACGTTTCAGCTGTTTCCACAGTGAATCATATAAGAACAGCTTTTAACAGTGAATAGTATCAAAGCTACTTACATTATTTTCTCTGTCTAGGCTTTGTACGACGTATGATAAGCCTCAGGCAGCTCAGAGAAAAGACTGACTTCATCACTGACTTCTAAGAAGGGCATACAAGTGAACTAAAGGCTGCCAGGAATTCAAGCATACAGACTGGACTAGGCAAGACAGAAAGATGGATCACTCAGCCTCAGAATTAGAGAAGTGTGTGATTCTGGAATATAAATGCACCAGATTGAATTTTTATTGCCCCATGGTTTGAGAACACAGTGGGTTTTCCCTCATGTGTACACTGAGTACAGACGTGCCTGGCTTGATCAATTCATGTGCTACACTGAAAGAACATTCTATGAAACCGCATGAAATGGGGTTGCTCTTTCAGTTGATATAAAAAAAAATGAAACACTTTGAAACCATAGCTGTGGTGTCAGAAGGCCTGATAATTCTTTTAAAACAAAGCAGCACTCTGAGCTGGCGTGTTGATCCTGCTGTGTGTGTTTGTGTTTCTTTCTTATGCCCCTGTGATTCCGGCTTGCGTCCTCTCTGAGATCAGAATGAACTTCCAGGAAGATATTCCTTCAGGCGGCAGAAACTGCTATATTGTATAGCTGACAAATCACACACCTGCTTGGAATTGAATCCACCAATTATTTAGTAGCCCCTCGAAGCAAGAACACTCTCTCCCGTTTCACGTAATAAGGCGCCAGGATACCAGCACCCTTGTCCAGCTCCTGCAATTAATTTGTTCCTGTAGATAACGGTAATAAGTAACCTGCACAGTGCTTCACGGGGTGATAAAAAGTAAAATTAGGGCCCAGATCAAATAAAAACATTGAGTCTGCTATTAATGATTGAACCTAAACTGAGGCAGTATGTCATGACTGGTTTCTAACAGGTTGAACAGGGAAGCTTCCTGAAAACAGAGCCACTGTCGGTTTTGTCATTTTGAATTGGTGGATTTGTTGAAGTTTAGATTCGATACTGAGCCCTAATCTTACTAATATTTGGTAAATAATAGTGAATGGTAATCTATTAACTCATCACTCCTTTTGCGTTCAATAGTATTGGCATTCTCAGCTACACATTATCAATTCAAATATTGACAACTGATGAACAGATTTCCTGAGGTACTCTGTGCGCAAGAGTAAGAGGTCTTTCTTAATCCCTCCATCTGCGAACCACTTTATCCAGTGCAGGGACGCAGGGTAGCCTGGCAAGCAAGGCAGGACACACGCTGGATGGGACTCCAGTCGATCGCAGGTCTTGCCTTACCTCCCAGCTAAAAATCAATTCACTATGATTACTAAGCATTCATTGGCTTCTTTCATGTCCTAGACGCAGCATTTGGGGTTCAAAGTTTCCCCTGCAACGTGAAGGTTTTAAAAATGTGTACTGTATTTCCAGGATTTAATCAATTATGTAGAACCATGTTGGAAAGGACTGAGTGCAGTTCTACCCAAAGAAATGAAATAAAAGATTGAGATTTTTGTCTGCAACAATATACCAGTATTTATTTTTCAAGTACCTGACTCAGAGATGTTTTTTTATAATAATTCCTATAGTTTTATGGTACTTTTCATTTCAAGGTGCTAGACATGTTAGAGGACACACCAGAGCAGGTGGAGGAGTGAGACCTCAGTTTAACTTCTCAGCTGAAGGATGACATCTTTTACGGTGCCGTGACTTGTCTCATCTGGAAATCTTGGTCCAACACTTTCTGGGCCACCAAAGCAATTATAGCAAAACCACAGGACACAGTGTGGTTCTGTGCTTTCATTAACTGACACAAAGCCAGGATGCCCAGGTGAAATCCAATCGGCCTCCTGCCGAGGTGATGGACTGATGGAGCTGTGTGCTCAACATGCTTCTCTCCTCCCTCCTGGTCAATTACAGGATAGTTCTTTAGATTGATTTAAAGGAAGTGATAAATCTCAGTGGCAGCAAGGTTAATCATTCTTTCCCCAGAGAGTCCTTGATGGACTAATCTGGGGTACTAATGGAATACAGCCCACCAACAGAGGTTGCTTAATACAGCCCATGGTTGACACAAGCAGGCCTCAGGAGATCAATGTTTCTCTTGTCGAGGATGAAACTACAGCAAAATGTGCATTACAAACAGATTATTTTCAACATAATCCATGCAGCAAACTTCCCAATCCTGTTTTTGTTTCTGGTTTGGGACAGCATGTACTCAGGGGATTGCTAAATCAATCCTTTAAAAACCTTTTAAATCAGGGGCGTCATTTTGGATGACCTTGTATATGCTAGTTTTTCTTCCTACAACAATTCAACAATCAACCCAATTATTTTATTAGTCAGACATATAAACAGGATTTAATGTTTTATATGGCTGATGACTCAAAACGCCCACTTCATGAAAAGTGCGTTTACTTACTGTACACCTCAGAGCCAAGTAACTTGCATTATGTATTCAATTAATTAAACAATTAGACCAACTATGTAACTGAGAGATCACAGGGAAACAGAAACCTACAGGATTTGAGTTTGACACCCATTTTAGACCAACAGATCACACTTAATAAAACTTGTCAATAAGCAAGAAACAGGGTTCATCACACAACAATCCCCTTATTTTTCAGTGCATGTGCCCATCTTAGTAATAGCCTAATCACCATTATTGTGAAATACATTTTCTGTAAATCAGAAATAGGAATAGTAGGCTAATTGCTTATGAAGGTTGACCCGATATGTGAGGTTATTCTAATCAAGCAAATTAGTGAGAATAAAGGGGATTCATAGTCTGACAGTGCATTCAGAATTACACTTATCTGATGACTTTACTGTATGAAATCAATCACTATTATATTTATAAAATACATAGATAGCTCACACATTGTTAGCACATGGAAGATAGAAAATGCATGCACACATATATCTGCATCAAGTTAGAAATCAATACACAAATGGGACAAATAACAGTAGAAACGAAGCTGTACTGAAAATACAGGCCGAAAATCCATCAGATCAATATCATTCAATAATTAAAGCCTTATTGTCATGCGTCATCAGTTTTAAGAGTTTAAATCCGCAGTCAAGGATTGGCAGTCCTTTGAAAGGCCGCGTGAAAGGTTACCACGAGCCAGAGAAATGTTTCTGCCTATCAGATGTTCAGTATTCATTCTGATGAATGTGGACTGCAAATAGGATGGAAAGCTGAATATGACCTATAGCTGTTCTTTTTAACACTTACCTTGGCTGCTTGTGGTAATTAGTCGCATCCTGCTTGACTGACTCATACAACAATCTGACTCATACAACAGTTACAAAAAAAAAAGAGCATGAACTCCATGTAGCATGGTTTGTTGTTAGCAGCTAACTGACCTGAGGATCTAATCTGTTTCTAGAAGGAAGCCAAGGTATGAGCTTTAGGAACATGGCCAGGTAACCTGTTCCACACTCCCACCACCTTTTGTGTAAAGAAGTGAGTATCCTGATTGGAGGACTTCAGCCAGGTGTATCCTGAAAGAAACCAGCATCATCTTCAAAGGCACAACTTCATACTCCTGTACTGACGACATTTCTGTCATTTAATTGATTGTTTCCTTGCAGTGTGAAGATTACAGTCTTCCCCAGAAAGGTAAACGTGAGAATTATTAAAGAAAAAATAAACTGACTAAAAAGCAGGTTTAAGAATAATTCTTTATATATTCCTAAGTGAAACAAATTACATTCATATTTCTACACAAATATAAGCAAGTAACAGTCAATAAAACAATCCTGAAAATTATTACATACAACACATTAAATACAGTTATAACCATAAATTATTGCTTGATTGCTACTGTTTTTCTGAACAACTACAATACAAGAAGACACAGTATTTATATTTCAACCAAACAGTACAACAGTGATGTTATTGATCATTTATAGACTTCCAAGGAAAGTGAAAACTGAATCCATTTTCAACAAACGTCTTGTGATTGCTGAGTGATGATTCAAGACAAACACAAGTCCCTCTTTTTTAAATGACTATTCCTTTCAATTGATTTAAATCCTTAACTAAAACCTTAGAAAAGCAAAAGCTTAGTTCATTGGCCACCATAACGTAATGCTCTGTACACATTTTTAAAACAGTTTTTGAGACGGAAAACGCACCCAGTTTCAAAAGATCCCGATAGTAAAATGCTAAACGAACACCATCATCTGACAATGCGTTTGCTGAGTACATATCCTGTTGACATCTTACAATTGAACAAGATACACTGGTTTTAAACCATAGACATAGAAGTTAAGCTCGTGTCAGATAGCATATTTATGTGCAAATACACACAAAGTCATAAGATTCTGAAGGCATTTTTAAAATACCCCCCTATCGTATATACATCCTTTCTCCCTAGAGCTACACTTAGAGCACATGAGCCTGTTTAACTATCGATACTATACCTGAAACTTTTTTAACAGTTGGTACAGTATATGAAATTTAAACTTTAACACCTACACTTCTAGGCCTGTGAAAGCAAAGGCTATAAGGTGATTATGAAAAAGACCATTTTAATTAAATGCAACATAATGATACTCCTCCACGAGGATGTGTCATCTTATGAAAAACAAAAGACGATCAATGCCAAAGGGAATAAAGTGCTACAATGCAGACTAATCACATAATAATCATTACAATGACAACAGTAATAATACCCAGTTAAAGCAGCTTTCCAGGTCTGCTCATCAGTTCTGACCTCCACCAGTTTATTCTGGAACTGATGAAGGAGCACTTCTCCACAATATATTTCACTTACTGGAGGTTTAGTATGTGAGAATACTGTGGTATTACAAATTAGCTGTTTGCAGCAAAGCAGAAGCCTTTTTAAAGTACCAATATTGCTGGGCAAATACTGCACAAATAAAGTCTGTGTGTGTTTTTACTGTGACATCACTTCATATTTAAATGCTGGACAATAAAGTCTTTTCTTCCTGCTGAAACAAATCTGATGTCCAGCCCAGCCTAGTCTACAGGGGCTAAAGTTCTCTGTTTTAAGTTACCAGGTATCACATGTGAAGAGTCACCTCACACTGAAGTTTGTAGTAAGGAACATAAAGGCTTCTTCTAGTGCAATGCAATGAAAATACTTCTTCTTAAGCATACAGTCTAACAATAATAAAAGGGCAAAAGGGTTAAAATGAGATAGCAAGTTACACTTTAAATTATTATTTTAACACCTTTCTTATTTTTTCATGATGCTTAGAACAAGTAAGCAATTACAATTGATAAAATGCAAATCAACACGGCAGACTTTATTAAGATTAAACCACAATATGCATGTTGCAAAAAGTTAAAGGTCGGTATTTTCTAGATCTGTTGACAATTTTTATTGGTCCAAATCAGTTTTTATACAGACATCGTTGACCTTAAATATTTTAAAGGAAAAAGTCTAATTCAGCAGTTTGATTTGCCGGCAAGCAACAGGCTCAAGGCAGGGAACACCACAGCCAGTTTTATGTTTTTGTCTTAGTTTTTGGCAATGTTACCATACAACACAACAGTAATTAAATATTTCCTAAATGCTGCAAAAACAAAATGCTTCTGGATGCAAACGAGACTTCTAGTTTATAATAAATGCAGAGTGAGAAGATTTATTAGCTATTCAACACTATACAGCCAAAGATCCAGATGTTCTCTTCAAAGCTCTCTGACAGCTCAAAATACTTACAATTAAAAGGCATTCAGTTACCATGGGTTTCCATTCACAATAATGGCCCTGTTGTGGCATTTTGAAAAACGCTAGCAGCCATGCAGTGTATATGAAGCAAGTCTAAAACCCAATGAAAATGTAATGGCTTTAACTGACCAATAGCACAAAACAACAGTTGTCCTAAAGACATTTATTAAGTATACTTATCTGACAATGATTAGAAGCTCAAGATCCTTTTTCCCTTGAGCTTTCTTTTGTTTTGGGACATTGTGAACAAAACAGATTTGCTATAATCTGTCCTAAGACCTATTATCTTCCTGCTGTTATTGTCTAGTTCCCTCTGAATGATACGTTATTTCGCTTTTACAAGTCAATGTTTTTCACCTTGCTCAGGGTTAACACAAACCAAAGCCGGATTCAAGGCTTCCTAAAGCTGTCCATCACCCTCACCAGCTGGAACAGCTGCTATACAAATGGGACCCCACTTTCGATGTTGCATGAAATCTAGCTTTGTCCGACACAAAAAAAACACCACAACTTCTAGATATGTTTGTTTTGGTTTCTAGGACAAGTAAAAAAAATAAACAGCGACCACTACATCAGCATGCATGTGTGCAAACAGCTTACGGTATCAAGTGCAGGGGGAGAACACATATTTCAGTAAACAACTCTCCTTTGAAAAAAACAACCCTCACAACGCTTGATCCTCCAAACAGGACAAGCCGTTGCTATGCAGTCAACTTTCTTCTGAGCTTCTTGTCCGGTTTACGTGTAACGTAAAGTGCATCCTATTTCTGTCCGAAGGTCTGCAGCGCGACAGGTCAGCCGATATGGACGCAAGCAGCAGACCCTGGTGAAACAAAGTCTCTGGATCTGCACCTGATTATGGTTATCGCAATTCTCATACTGGTCCATGAATAAGAATAATAAGAATGAAAAAAAAAAGGAACTGAAGAAAAGCCAGCGAGAAGCCACAGTGCTTGAAATGAACACATGAGTTTTGTCTTTCTCAAGATTCACCTGCTTCGTGTCAGCGAGCAGGTCTCTCTCTATACAAAGTGTGCGTGAAGCACCAGTACAGACCTGCCACCTCTGCGTGCTCCTTTGCTAAACGTTACTGAAACTGAAACGAAGGACGAGCTTCACAGCTTTTAGTTGAACAGCTTGGGAGGGGCTTCTGGGCGTCTCGTCTGGATTATCTTTTGCTTGGGCTTGGCCTCCTCCTCTTCCTCGGTCTCGCTCTCACAGACGTGCACCACCACGCTGGGGGTGGACTCGGTGCCAGCGTGGAGCTCGTACTTCTCTCCTGGAGAAAGAGCACAGGTCAAAAAAAAACCCAGGGAAGAGAAAAGAAATCACTAGCAGGACGGATTCACGCCTCACACAAGGAATGGAACTGCGATGCAGAGGACAACGGAAACTGTACCATCCGCTAACAAGAGTTTTGTGAACCTCTCTGTATCTATTTTTTTCTGAATCTACTCCCTTCTGTCTTGTTCTATCTCATCATCCATCCATTTTCTAATCGCTTCTTCCACTTCAGGGTCACGGAGAGCCAGAGTCTATCCCAGCGAGCAACAGAGCCAGTCTATCACAGGGTGTGCAGACACACACTCACACTGCCCGCAGGAAAGACACACAAACATGGGGTGAACATACCACATAAACCCCAGTTAGACAGCACCCCGGGAACTGAACTCAGGGCCTAGCACTGCAAGGCAGCAAAGCTAGAAACCCATGAAGAGGTTAAGGTGCTTTACAGTGCATCCCAGGCACAAAAATACTACACTGGGAACCGAATCTTGAATTGACCAGCAGGACCAGACTTACAAAGATGTCACACAACCACAGATGGCCATTATTCTGTAGTAAGACTTCACTCACACTTCCTGGTGACTGGTGCTGTCAGCTGCGACAATACCAAGATTAATGCAATGACTGATTACACTGAATCTGGCTTGTTCATTTCAAGGACAGTTAGCAATAAAGGGTCTATCAATCCAGACCAGAAATAAGTATTGTGTTTTTAATAGTAAATAGAATGTCTGATAAACTGCGTGATCTGAATGTTTAGACGTTCGATTCAATAATGTTCACGGCTGGCTGGCTGGCTGGCTTGTACCATTTGCTTTTTGTGACGCTGCCTTTCTCCAAACCTGAGAAAAAAAAGTCGCTTTCAAGAGGGGAATTACTAAATCTGTCTGATGCTATTTTAGAAGAACGATTCTCAGGCAAGAATTTATCTTGAGATACAGCCTCCCTGCACCTTATAATCCTCTGAGCTTGTAATATATTAAAAAAAGATTGTATCGGGGTTGCCAAGGAGACGAGATGAGCCGAGAAAACGTGATGAGAGGTTTTTCTAAACAAGACTTCCTCTCCGTGACCTTTTAGAGAAATGCTGCTTTCTACAACACACACCAGAGGGCACAAGTGTGCCACTCAAAAACTACTGCGATGAGATTCAAAATCGTTTTTCAGATGTTTTTCACATCCAGTTAATGCAGAATATGCCCTTCACACTCTTTTGAACAATAATATACAAAACATTTTTAGACACTGAGGAGCCTAATTATAAACAAAGACACTTGAAAGGTATGTTGCTAGTATTTGTAGAAGTAAAACTAAAACTACTGTAATTTTTCAAAACCTGACAAGCCCTGGAACCATCTTCAGTGAAATGCGATACAGATTTTGTTTTTCCAGACTTTACAATAATTTGCGGCTCCTATGTGCTTGTAATGAAGATCTCTTCCTTCCTTCTTTTATTGGTGCTTTTACAATAATTTTGCAGGCACTGAAAGGCCTTGTCAGATGTGTAAAAGCAATTTAAGATGCAGACTTTACGAGCAAGTGTGTGGGGAGGGAGGTGGTGGTGGTGTTGTGTGGTGCCTCACCAGTTGAAAGGAATGAATGAAAAAAACACGATAAATCACCCAGCAAATACTGAGACCGTAAGAACATAAGAAAGGTTACAAACAAGGGGAGATACTCAGCTCAGTTTGTAGTTCATGTCTCGTACCAAGTAAGTGTTTTAAATCATTGAGACATTGCAATTGCAATTAATGTTTTGCATGCAAAGCCTGTTCTTCAACTTCTGATTTTTACTTACAGCTTCACTGTTTTCATGTGAAGAAATATTTGTACACAAGAGTTATTTTCACACACTGTGTTCAATTAATGTGTTCCGTTGTCTTAAATTAAGCAGGAGGCACATCACAGGTGTCTGAGTGTCTGAATGCAGAATGCTGAACGGGTCTCTGTCCAAGCACCCTGCTTTTCTTGCCAAAAACACATACTACTCACATTACACATCTCGCTATCCCTTTGGTTTCATAATAGGACTAATACTAGAAAGAGAAACTTAATTTATATTCCCAGTGCCTTTTATATTTAAGTTGACTTGCTTCCTTTAAAAAGGGCAAGAACAAGCAGTAAGAGATCAATTAATTGAAATTTCCCACCCCTTCCCCCTCTCCACTGTTTCTCTGCCTTTGTTACATTTAAGTTAATCTGATCATCTAATATGAGTAGCAGTCTTAAAATAAATACAGGCCGAAGCCCTACCTTCCTCTAATGAGATCAGTAGAGTTTTGTGTTGCGCAACACTGAGGGGAAGCAGGTTTCAATTAGCCCCTTTGATGTGTGGTATTTTTGAAAGGTTACTTGAGCTGCTGTCGCCAGCCAGCAGGCTCGAGTCCATGCCTCCCTGCACCACATTAGAACAGTTGTGCTTCACACCACTCCACTGCCACTTACAGTATAGAGCATTCATGGGGACAGTACAGTGTTTTCTGAACATATACAGTTGCGCCTTTAGTTCTTCCGAATCAAGAACCACCACTTGCTAGGATGAACAAAAAGGATAGTAAACTCTACCTAAAAAATAAGCAAAAACACTAAACAAGCTTGTTACACATACAAGCTGTTACTTAAATCATGCAGCTGTAGATCTGCAGACAACAGTGGAAAACTGACAGCCAGCAAAGTTATTTCATTTCACAAACAGAAGAGATATTATAGTAATTAACTTCAGTGCTTGGTTATTTTAAAATGTTTATTCGTGATAATTAGTTATGACTCTATATGATGGGTGATCTGTAATTATCTGTAGCAAAACAATGTTTTAGTAGCACTGAAACTGCATGAACAGATATAGCTTCCTGCAGCTATAAAAATCGACCTTGATGAGTGCTGCTACAGAAATCTTACAAAAGGGGACTGTCACGTCTCCGATTAAAAGCCTGGATGAGTGTAAGGAGACACAGGAGAACATGAAAGAGGAATAAAAGCTATGGGAACCCAAGGAAAAGGACAGTAGGGGTGTGATGTAGCCATGGGAAAGCTGTGGAAATTCTTGGGGTGACCGTGGTGCCCCTCTGTCAGCCCTGCGAAGGCACGTACCTGGGCCCAGCTTGGCAACAGCACACAGCAGATCGTAGTTGATGACCGGTGTGGCGTCCTCACTTTGACTCCAGCCAACTGGGGGAGAGGCCGGGGGGGAGATGAGGAACTGCTTAACCGGCTGTGGGGGGGCCAGATAGGACTTGTCCGTCTCCTCGCCAGAGTTCTGCACCTAGACACACACACACACACACACACACACACACACACGGGCGAGAGAGACGCTCAAAATCCTTTTCTCTGCTGTACTATATGTTTGTGTCCATCTAACCTAGCTCATACCCCCCCAGAAAAGGAAAGTGATCTGCATCCCTTCCCCATTCTGTCTCCGCGAAAAGACGTGGCTTTTTTGGAAACGTGATCTGCTTTGATTTTTAGGACACCCCCCACTCCACCCCCTCCCTCAACTGGACCCTCATCCAAAGACCAAAACCACACTGAAAGGCTCAGATCAAAGATGGGAAGGCTCCAATGAAATCTGTGTGAGTAAGGACTGGAACAGCATCGGGAAAAGCGGCAAAGTTGATGTCACATGGAAAACTTTCATTCATAAGCGGACTAGCAGGTCACACGAGGATGGTTCCTTGCATTTTCTTTCAGGCGTTCATCCAAGAGGAACCCCAAAGCTCTCTACAGACCAGTGGGGAACCAATTCATCCACTACTGATGTGCAGCCCCCTCCTGGCTTATGCACAGCAGATTTGCCAATTAAGAGCGAACATAAAGCAAGTTACACTGGCCCAGAGAGGAATTAAGCCAGGACACCAGCTACAAGGTTTCAGTGAACTCATCTAGAGGATAGTACCTCGTACCACACAACGTCCCCCGTCATCATTTTAGGGTGCAGGTTTCCAGTGGAAACTTGTAGCGGTTCCCTGGTGTTCCCTGGGAGGGCTGAGGAGGTCTGGGATTTGTTGAGATGAGACTCAAAGCTGGCAAAATGTAGGTCTTCACATGCTTCAAAGTTATTAATTTGCCATCTCGGGCTTTGCTCAATTGCAAACATCTCCCACGGCAGAGACCAACGCTGTCTGCATGCGGCATCGTACCTGAGCAAAGTACAGTTTGAGTTTCTTTCCATTGAACTCGGACTCATGGAGCTCAATCCGGGCTCTGGCTGCTGCCTCAGGGGAAGTGAAGTTGATCCGCACTCTCCTGAAGCTCTTGAACATCTGGAACGATGCCTGCTCGTCATATATCCGGAACAGGGCCTCAAACCTTTCCTGAAACAAAACGGAACAAAAATGAACAATGATTCGAAGCTAAACAACAACAATCAAAAAGATTCTGCTCAATTAAAAGAGAGGAAAGGAAATGAAAGTAGGAGGATGTCGGGACAATAAACAAGTCTGATTTTAGCTTGAAGGTTATCCTCATGCCACTGAAAGCAAAGAAGTTGTACAAACGAAACTTCCAAGTGTCTGATCCTGTTAAGAAGGTAAACAGGATAATTATTTTTGCATAAACCTCTAAACAAATAAACAAATCTTTTGTGCTCAGGAATGTTTGGATGAGGACCACTTTCTGCATTGAACATTACTAATCGTATGTTTTTGTCGGAAAAGATCCTTAAATTATAAGGACCACTGGAGAGGACTGAAATTATTTAATGATACTGTGCAAATCTCGACACTTATTTTCACACAATGACTGGTTTCAGGTTACAACAAACTAATCTCCCCTGCAATTAAACAGTTCGTTCATGCATTTTCGGAGCTGAAAAGTACAGGTTTTGGCATCATACATTTTCCACTGTATCATAGCTATACAGCAAACATGAAAAGGCAGCACATTTAAACCTTTGGTAGCGGGGGAGCCAATTACAGTAATCGCCAACAATACACAGAGCAGAATGGCACTGTGGGTAATCAAATATGACCTCTATCTGCTTACAGGGCAGGCTGAGGGAGACGCTCAGTGCCAGAATGATGTAATCTGTGTTCCTCCTGCCAGCAATCAAGCCACCTACTGGACTCCAGGACCATCAACAACAACAACAAGGCAAGGAGTGGTGATGGAGTCTCGCCTACCTGTCCCCATGCCACTATCGTGGATGGGAATGGGTATCTGTCTGTAAAATTAAATATGTGCTTTTTTCTCATGGATCCAACACAAAGAGATGAAGGAGATGCACATTGCTGGCACTGGCTCTTCCACATTAATACATACCTGAAATGATTGTGGTTTTAATGGGAACGGCCTTTCTCCAAAGCACGTCACATGCCAGAAGGTAAATTAAAAACCAATTCTCTTCGCTGTAGGAAAGACAGGATCGCTCCACTGTCAATACTTAAAATGTAATGATAGATCAAAATGCTATGCATTGTCCATTACCAAACACTTTTTAGACTATAAATGTCAACTAACGCTCAGATAAGAATGATCTACTGTATGTCTAAAAAAGGACAGAACCAGGGAAAGTGGTCCAAGTAAAGTTAAGTATTGGAAGGCTGATTATACAACTAAGTGCTTCATTAGCCTATTAATTCTAGAGTGCTTTCAATTACTGAGATGAAGTACTGTACTTTGGAAACAAAATATTATCCTGGAACTGAAAAACAAACAGTAAAGCTGAATAATTAAAAGGCTGTGTATCCCTTTCAGAACAACGTGATACCAAAAGCCCTTCGGGGACTAATCAGCAAATGGCTGGGTGTCAAAAGAGTTGTGAGCCTCCTGGGCAGGAGAGTGCTGGTCCTGTATTTGCTGTGAGTGGACAATCCACTGGCCTCATTGATTACAGTTCCTTCCTGCTGGCAGTTAAGGCTTGCAAAGACAGTAGCTAAGCAACACTGTGACATAATCCAGGATATCTACAGACAGGAAGTTTAGACAGGTTGGGAACAAGCTTATTCTTCATCCCTTCTGACTCTTTTCGGTTCCCTGATACAATTCATCTTCGCTCAGATTTTAAAATCTGGAAATATTAATTTTTAAAACACAAAAGAACAAAGTCTCTTTACTGATCTGGCTATTGGAAAAGACCAAGCTGCACTGAGATGCTTAAGCTTTTTGACAAGAGTAACAGCGTCAAATCAGGACTCTCTCTCCTGTCACTGAAATACCTGCAAGTCTGGGGTACTGTGTGCTTTTCTGAAGAGGTTTTCAATGTGAACCAATTCTGCAATTCATCCTTTTTTAAAAAACTATGCTGACAGTACCACCCAGGTTTTGTAGAGGCGAATTTCCATCCATCCATTTTCTAACCAATTCATCCAATTTAGGGATGCAGGGAAGCTGGAGTCTATCCCACCAAGCAATGGGCACAAGGCAGGATACACCCTGGATGCTGGTCCATCACAGAACACCCACAGACTCAGACATGCACACACTCGCATCATGACAAATTTTCCCAGAAGCCAATTAGCCTACCAGTATGTCTGTGGACTGAGGCAGGATACCGGACCATTTACAGGAAACCCACACAAAACTCAATGAGAACATATAAACTCCCCATAGATGGTACCCCAAGAATTACATCCAGGACCCAGATTCTGTGAGGCAGCGATGTTAACCACTTTGCCACACTTGCAATGAATTTAATAGCCTAAAATACAACTCATATTGTTAACACATAATTAGTTATGAAGCTTATTTTCAGTTAATGTGAATCACATGAAAATAAAGGTAAAAAAATGACAGGAAAACATTTGATACATTTAGCTAATTTGGTTCAATCCAAGCCAAAAACAGTGGAATTTTAAGAGCATCCAATCTCAGGCTGCTAACTAAGGTGCATAACTCAGCTGGCATGGATATTTACTCCAGTAATACAGGTTTCCAGATATGATTAAAATCCACTCTCTCTCATGGGTCATGTTTCTCTGTGGTGAATGGAGTTATTGTACATATTGCAAGTAAAGTGTGCTACAGGTTCACTTTTTGGAGAGGCACTTTGAGAGAAACTAACAGCAGGGAGAGAGAAGCATAAAAAATGAAACAATTAACTAACTGCACGAGAACTGGAGTTTAGAAAAAATACTTAGAAAATTATTTTTTGAGCCATGGCAGGATAAAAATTTAAGTTCAAAATAGCTTTTTTCTCCAACAGGTATTTGTAGGTGTGATATTTTTGACAATTAAATGTTCATTGACTTTTTCCATGCCAATCAGTTATATTGTTTTTTTATTGGTCACTTTTTGATTTTTTTTTTCAGATACAGGTTGCTCTTCTTCGATCCTTATCTGGTTTCAGATTGCTGACAGTACTCTTTGGGAAGGGGAGTATTTCTCTTACTGACTCTGCGGACTGCAACATGTTTCTAAATTACATTTGTCCCCATGAAGAAAAGAACAGATATAATACATTCACATGATACAACAGATTTTATACAAATTCATTCACAAGTAATGAATGGATAAGTCCTACCAGTTCTCATGAGAAGAAGAACACTGGACTGAGGTTCTGCTGATGGTTTGTTTTTTCAGTGACAGCTATATTTATTTCATTTTGGTTGATCTGGGTCTCTTGTCTGAAATGAAGCCTCATTGCAGTGAAGGGTTAAAACAATATAAAACTTCGCAGTATTCTGTGACACTTCAGAAAAAAAAACATTCTGTACAAATTGTCCGATACAAATTGGACACTTCAAATGTTTATATGCGATTATATGATAATGTGCTGGTTGAAATAATGTACTCTCTTTACTTGCAACTGACAAATTAAACTATTGAATTAATTTACAGGCATTTAAATTTGCCTGGATTATACAGTATAGGAAATTTTATAGGAGCATCTCTCATTTTATGCTTTTCGAAATTTTATTCGGGTTAAGTAGCCAGAGTTTTATTATTTAGCAAGTTTTACTTTCTTTATTTTATTTCATATTTGTAGGTCTTCTCGATTTTGCCAAGGACTACAAAGAGGACAGCTTTGTGGTTGAATTCTGCTGCAGTTACAGCTCTTAAAAGTCAGACTGCAGTCTGCTGTGCAAAATTTCAGCAAATCGCTTTTAAAAAAAAAAAATACTGCTTTGCAGTGCAAGACGACTACTCTCCCAGGGCCCCACTGCGTTCAATTTCCTGTACAAAGACCCCCCTCCTCATCTCCTCCTGTTGGGTCATATTGTGAGAAGCCAGGCTCCAAGTTCACTGTTAGCAGCTGCCTTGACTGCTAAAATGACTCAACAGAGCCCTGAGCTTGAATCCCTTTATGCTTGTACATACAGCTCTTAACAAACTGCATAAAGTGGGCACTTCACTCTTACTCTAACCCTCAGTAGACTCTCTGCTTTTTAATGCACAGGTTTTTAAAAGTGATTAGCATCTGCCGATAAGCATCTACAGAACTTCACAATCTCATCCTTGAAGATAGCTCCATGTAGAAGGTTGGAGGTGCATGGATTCCAACCCTATGAAACTCTGCCCTAATATCTTTAAGCAAGGTACAGTACTCCACTCACATTGCTCCAGTTATGGGTCTGCAGCTTGTCACCTGACAGGAGAATTTGAGAATTTCTCCATTTGCTATTAAAACAAAGAACTGCTAACACGTCTCACAATAGTTTTTTGCACACCTTTCCTCCTGTATCTGCATAATCATACTCTAATCTATAACCGAACAGGATGAAAATTGCACAGCACTTGTGCGATTTGTAAAGGAGACTGAAATCAAAGCAAGAGACCAGTGCAATCACAGATGTTACTAGCTATTTATTTTACACAGTTGGGCCACTTCATTTTTTAAATGAAGTGAATATGACAAAACCTCACCAGCCCTCTGCTGATAAAACACTACATTATGCACAGCCTCTTTCAACTACCAGTAGCACACCAAAATTGTTTGACTGTCTGCGTCAAACAAATCAGATCTGAACAGCATCTCAAAAACCTGGACTGACGCAATTGTTCCTGAGTGCTTTTTTTCATTTTCACTGGGGGGTTTTGCTGAATTAGTAACACACTGTTGTTCACTAGATAAGCACAATTCCAGAAGCCAAAAATACTTTTCTAAGTAACACTTAATCAATGAGGAAAAAAAATAAGAGACTCTTTGCTTCCAACACCAAGCTATTGCCAGGAAATTAATCAACATGAGCAGAAACGTTCAGTTCACAGTATTTGTTTTTTCAGTAAGGAAAACGTTGAAAGGACAAGCAAACTGCTGTCCCTTCTGTTGCCTGACTTCTTATTGTTAGAGCCTAATCAATTAGACAAAGAGAAATAAAGTTATTAGGATCGATACTTTAACCAAATTCAATATGATTGCAGGCAGCATAGTGGT